AGCTTGTATAAATCTGGGTGAAACTGGCAGGTATTTGGATGCTTCTGAGTGGTAGAGACTGTAAAGGGAATGGAAAGGGGATTTGTTTTGAGACTTCTCCCTCCATGTTAGCAATAGGAGGAAGAGAGACAAGATATGGCCAAATGCAGAAGTGGGTGTGGAAATAAAGCACCTGCCAAGTTGTTGTCAGTGGGAGCTACTGTGCCTTACATCTCTTTTTTGCAATGGTCCCAAACTTCCCAGGAGTTGCACCACTTCCCATCTCTGCAGGACAAGCGGTGACTTTGGCTCAGGATATAGAATATAAAAATACACCTGAAATCACCCTCAAGGGTTTTTCTTTCCACCAATAAATAGAGCTTGCTGTGTCATGTAGCCTTGAAGCATGAATTTACATCAACTCTTCCCATCATGTCCCTCTTGGTTTGGTTTTCCCAGACTATTTTGCTGACCATATGGGAGACTACGAAGACGTCTTGGCCTCGCTGGAGACGCTGAACCTCTCCATCCTGAAGGCAATGGACTACACCAAACGGGTGAGTCCTCCTTACTGCGCCTTGTGCTCCACAGGCTCAGGACAAACAGTGTAAACGTTGACAGAGCATCCAAATCCCAAGGTCTTCATCCTGTTCAGCAGTGTTGTCTCCTCATGCCATTGCATTTGTGCAGCAAGTGGATCGTGGCAGCAGCATGGCCATAGTAGATTTTTTGTGTGTGTTAAGAGCAGATGAATCTTGAAAATCTTGGCCAGATTGTGAACCAAGGTGCCAATGTCATGTGCAGTAGATGGTGGCATAGATGCTTTGTGGCTGAGCACCGTGTCATCTCAGAACCCTTCCCAAGTCTGAGAGGTGGTCTTGGCTCTGCCGTGGCTCACTCTCTGCATTGCCTGAAGCTCAAAGTTGTTCCAGTTGTCTTCATACAACATAGCCCATGGGTCTCTTGGGCGTGATTTTGAACGTGTGAGTTCTTGTTAGCGTAATTATGAGTGCTTTTGGAAACATGATATTATAAAGCTGCTATTAAATACAGCTGGAATGTTGGGAGGCATCCTGACTTCCAGAGATACAGTTGTTCCTTCACCCAGCTGCTGTGTTAGAAACTAGAGGGCTGTGTGTTTGAAGGACTGCAGGGGAGATGTTCTGTTCTCTATGTACAGGATACCTCCAGCGTCTTAGAATATGCACCATGTACCTTAATGATATTGTTAGTAACGGACTTCTAGTCAGTGACACTGAGCAAGAAGCATATTTGTTTACAAATACGTAGAAAATCTGAGCTGATGTACCAGATAAACACCCCCACTGAGAGGTGCACCATTCATCTGGTGTCTTACCAGGAGGACAGAAGTGTTTACAGAGCTCTCGTTCCTTTGAAACCATTTTCCTGTCCTTTCCATATAACTGGGCTGTATCAGTGATATTTATTACCCAGGATAATCAATCCTCCTCCCACTTCTACCTTCAACCATATTATGCATCATTCTTTTGTGCCACAACAAGAGAAAAGTAGTCTTCCTCCTCACTGGTGAGCACTACCGCAGTGCACTGTGGACCGAGCTGAGGAGGGAGGCTTTGCTTTTCCCAAGTGCCTGTAAGGGCTTCCAGATTCAACTCCAGTCCTCCTCCAAGTAATCCAGATTGAAATCTCTCTTGCACTTATCTTCGAAGCTAATGGAGAAATTTTGCTCAAATTGCTCCACATTAAAGATTTGATAATGATAAGAAGTTTTAGGAGTTACAATGGGAAACAGCAAATTTCTCTCCCCCCTCTGTTGCTGAGTAAAGAGCCTGGTTTCCTTGCTTTATCCAAATCCATCCTTTTTAATGTTTGTGAGGAAAGTGGCATGGGAAGTGAAGCCACATATTTCACACTTTGATGTCTTGCCATGATAAACTAGAGGCAGAAGTCTTTGGCCAAGCTCTGATCTGTCTGAAGTGTTTGTGAATTTTTTATCAACATTATGAGAGGGTAAAAAATATTGGGACAACAGTAATAGTTCATTTTTTTTCCGATTAAGTTGCTAAATCTGTTCATGCCTTGTTTATATTCATTATTAGCAAATTTTCTGGTAGTCAGATTTGCCAACTGTGCATTTTAAATACTTGTTAACATGCTAATAGATACCTCAGTAATTGAGTCCGACTTGCTGTTCATGATGCCTTCCACCATTGCTTTCGGAACGTGAGGTTAATAGATATGACTGATTCCTCCCAGTACTTCACAAAAGGAGGACGGCTGACTCCCTGTTTACAAATTAGGCTTGATTCAGCAACCTGTGGCAGGATTCACCTGCCTTAATTGCAATGGGTAAAGGTCGTTTACCTAAACCTGAACTGGTTACCCCATCGTGATCTTGTGGAGGGACCCAGGGAGAGCCAGGGCACTGGAGGCGTCTTCCTCCTGTGACTCTGCAGGATCGCAGTGCTCTCCATATCAGACGCAGACCCCTCCCTTCCAAATGGCCAATGCCAGGGGAAGGAGTGCCACCCCAGCACCCCCTCATCACCCCCATTTTTTCAGCTGCTGGGGTGTGCTGCTTCGCTGCCTGCCAGACTTTTGGCAAGCGAGCAGATGGACCAAGTCTCCTTCACAGACAGGAGCTGGCGATGATGTTTCATGAAAAACATCAGCTCCCTGCTGTGATTTTGTGAACAGAGTGGTACAGAAGCACATCAATGAATTATTCAAACGCAAGCGCTTTGTTCAGGTAAAGAACTGAAGGGAAAAAAACCCAAAACAGAAAATCAGCTGTCGTAGGTGGTAGAGAAACTCTTCTCCATTGCTCAGATAGGACAGATTTCCAGGCAGCATCAGAAGCTTTTCCTGAGTGCAATCCATTAGTGCTCTGCTTTTAAGATGGGAGATGTTTTCACTATATGTTTTCCATTAAAAAAAAAGTATGTTTACTAGACTTTCTGAGTTTAGTGTCAGGATTGCCAAGACAGAGTGTCAGAAGAAGGCTTCTTAGGATCCAAACAGATAAAATAATCTGACTGAGGTCTTCTCACCAGTTTCCAGGCCAGGTGTGTTCCTGCACCCCACCTCAGCCCGGGGAACATCCCAGGGGTGTTTTCTTTCCTCCAGGGCTGGGCTCACTCCTACAGGCGAAGGCCTCAGCCCCAGGGAGAAGACTCTCCAGCCCAGGACTGCCAAAGCTGATATGAGGTCCCACTGTGTGATGAGGTAACCAAGGGCCCCATGCTGACTTCAGGATGTTTGGGAGATACATACATCTAAATATACTTTCAGAAACACTGGATCAGGGAAAAGACTGCCAAAGCAGCAGGTTTTGGTTGGAGCCAAGCGCGGTTTTGTGCCACTCTTGATGTTCGAGCCTGTTGCTGTCTCCGCAGCTTTTCCCCAAGGCTGCATCCTGCAAAGGGCTTGGTGCTGATGCTGAGCACCCTGATGCGAGAGCAAACCGTTTCGCTTGTGAGATGCTCCTGCTTCTCTATATTAAAATAAACATTTCATCATCTGGAGAAAACTATTGATCATTTGAGAGCGTTCCTTCTTCCCTCCCTCTGCCCTCCATTAATAAAAGCATTCAGTGCAAACGGTAAATGAAGCCTAGCCTTCTTCTGTGCTGGCTTTCTGACGAGAGGTCCCTGCTGGCGATTGGGGCTGGATAGCCACCGTGTTTCATTGCTGTTTGTATTTCTCACCTTAAAAGACAGCTGATTATTTCTTGCTCATAAAAAGAGAAAGCAGCAATTATCTCATGCTGGAGGAGCTCATAAAGTATCAGCAGTAATTAGATTCAGCAGTGGAAGGTCTCGTACAGCAAAACAAAATCTGTTATTGGAATTATTTTCCAATACGGCGATGTCCGTGCCACGTTGAAATGACTGCCAGTGATGGTGGGAAATGCAAAGTTAAATTGGAGAGAAAGGAAATGAACTTTCAGGATCTAAAAAAAGCTAACGGTGGGAGATGTTCCTCCATAATTCTCATTTACTGTTTTGTAGTGCGGTCGGCTAAGATCAAAACCAGTGTAACTGGAAAGGACACAGTTCACATGTCCGGTGTTGGTGGGAGCTGGGGGCCTGGGGCCAGGCTGAGCTGTCCCTCCCGTTCGGTTACTGACTCCCCTGCCTCGGGCTGCCCGCTGTGGGAAGGTGCCCACCCGGTCCCTCCACCATCCCTGCCCACCTTGAGGGGTGCCGGGCACGGCGGAGTGGGGGGACAGTGCCCAAGGAGCTGGAGGGACGGCGCTGGAGCGAGGCTTACCACCGAACAACACTCTCACCCAGACACCGTGGGAAACATGCTTTAGCTTGGTAAAAAAAAGCACATTTTGTGGCTTTTTGAACCTGAGAGGCTCAATCAGCCCTGTTTCTGTCAGGTACAGCTTCCACTGCCTGCCCCACAGGGGTCGCTCCTGCTCGCCACTTTTGCTGAGCAAGCATTTTGCGGCACCGAGGGTGGAAAACATCAGCAAAGTTGACCTTTAGCAGTGAGGCAAAGGTTAAAAGCAAACTGCAAAGAAGTCCCAAAAACACTGAGTGAAGAATGCCCTCAAGGACGAAGCCGCTCAGATGTAAGGTCAAATCGCTTCTTCCTGGAGAAGGTCCTGTTGGCCACCAGACGGGTCCAGGAAGGTGGCTGTCCTTGGCACGTGGCCTGTCCCAGTTGGAAGGGAAGTGCTAGGAAAGAAAAACTGCCCGAAGCTGGAACTGAAATTGTAACAACGCCCCACGTGCACACTGAAGTGAAATGGGGCTGATCCCTCTGGTGCTCAGGAACACGGTGCCGGGAAAGGCTGCGCCACTCTACTGCGGCAAGGGCCGGGGCTGCAGATCTCCTCTCCCCGCTGCTGGTGCCGGCGTGGCCATGGGTCTCTGCCTGCTTCCAGCCACCAGCAGCACACTGCAGAGGATCAGCTCAGGTACAGCCCCAGAGCGAGCACCGTCTGCCACCAGTCTTGGATGCTAAAAATGATGGATGGGGTTCTTTTGCTTAGTAGCACAGTCCAGATCAGCAATACAGAGTGCTCTCATTTGCATTCTTACCTGCCAAAATTAAGCCTGCCAAATATGATATTGCTCATTTTTGAATGATGACACCTTGATATATAATAGTCAGTAGAAATAATCCTTAAAAATAATGTTTTCCTCCCACCCTCCAGCTAATCCTTTATCTCGTCCTTTCATTTTACTTGAGCAGGTTTTTCTCCTGCTCTGCCAAACAAACTTGGTGCTCACATCGAGGTCATCTGAGGCCCCTGGAGCAGTGGTTTGCTGCAGCAGGAGGCTGTCCCGTGGCAGGGTGTAACAGCAACATGGTGGTAGCAGCTCTGGGTAATGCCGAGACGAGCAGCATGAGCTGCTTGGGGCTTCCCATAGATGTCATGGTCTGGTCCCAACCTGGCTTGCACCAAGCCGTGGTGGTTACATGAGCATCAGCTGAGCTCTGAAGCCAGGATGCCTTTGGCCTCCTTATCCATCAGTGTGCCCAGGTGGCCAAGAAGGCCAATGGCATCCTGGCTTGTATCAGGAATGTTGTGGCCAGCAGGAGCAGGGAGGAGATTGTG